TGATGCCAGGCTTGACCACGGAGGAGATCAACTAGCACACACACACACACACACAGGGTCATCATCCCAGTACCCTGGGCTTAAATGGGAATGTCTATTTGAGTGACGAGAGGAGTGTGTTTTTCCTGATTCACAGGGAAACAGGGAAGCGGTGCTGTCTCACACCAGCGGTTACCACTTAAGCTAGACACAGGGCCCCAAAGAATGAGACACAATGTGGGTCGGGATGAAGGAGAGGATAATTGAGTCACGGGTTTGAAGCGTAGGGAGAGGAAGATTCCCAGGCACTGACATGTGCATGGGCATGGACATGTGCATCATTTGCTCTAACTCCTGGAATATGGCAGCCAGATAATGACAACTTTTGGGAAAGCAGGGTTATGTGAAGTTCATTGGAAACGTCAGCTCTGCTCATAGGATTGTGGGAAATTTCTACTACCAGTCCTTCACTATCTTAAACGAAATAGAGTGGAATATATCTCATATTACCGATTTAACGGTAGTCTTGAAACACTATTTATATACAGAAAATAAGTGATTTTGATGTTTAGCAGCAGCCAATTGACAAACCGGTAGGAAAAAAGGGGGTACCTGGTACCGGTGGTGGAGATGATTACGCTTCACTCAATCCACTTGCAGCGATACACTCTCAGGCGACATTGGAGGAAACGAAAGCACAGAATTGTGTGAAAAAGTGGATGGGACATATGAAGTGGGGTTGATAAAAAGAGATGCGGAACGTTTTGGAATGTACCGTATTTTCCGGCGTATAAGACGACTTTTCATACCATAAATTTCTGCTCCCAAGTGTGGGGGGGGGGTCGTCTTATACGCCGAACTCCTGTTGTGACCCTTACCTTCTTACAAAATCTATATTTTAACTGGAAAAGTCAGCGGGTCGTCTTATACGCCGGAAAATACGGTACCTATCCAATGGTCCAATATTGGAAATCACGAATACTAAGGCCTTGGACACCAGATTAGGTACATTCCAGAACCTGACTCTCCAACCAAGTTGAGAAAATAGGGTTGAATCAAAACAATAAAGCTAAAGGCGACTGCGACCAAATAGAAGATCACACCATTTTGATATTCATATCTATTGTCAAATTAAGTTGAATTGTTCATTTTGCCGTTATTACTCTGTTCTACCGATTTGTTTCCATGCTTTCTGTTGACATGATTGTTTTCCCTGTCTCTTCAAAGTTGTTGATAAGATAAACTTTATGCGTGATTTCAACAAAAGTGACAATGCATTCTTTGGAGAGTCTTATTAAACGATAAACTCAAACGAATTCAGAGCATCGAAATTCGGTCCGCTCCATATCGACGGCGAGAGCTCTCGTTCTGATCAGCCAATTCTGTATCGTCAGGCCAGGGAAACAGGCCCAGCAGCCGCTCTTGTCGTGGCGACTGGGCCTTCTCAACCAAAAAAGCCAGCATTTATTTCAGTTTTCCTATGCCCATAGGCCCATACACACTCCCCTGCTTCTGTCTCCACACACGTACACGCCAGTGCCGGTTGCTAAATACGTTACATCGGCCTGAAATTACACAAACAATTGCATAAATTAATTCCACTTGCTCCGTTTTCGAGGCCCAGC